GCACGTTCCGTTACCGCGCTGCCATCGTGGTGGAGGATGACTTAGAAGTTGCTCCGGATTTCTTTGAGTATTTCCAAGCGGCATTCCCGCTGCTCCTGGCCGACCGCAGCCTCTGGTGCGTGTCCGCTTGGAATGACAACGGGAAGGAGCAAATGGTGGATGTTGGACAAGCTGAACTGCTTTACAGGACTGATTTCTTTCCCGGCCTTGGTTGGTTGCTTTTAGCGGAGCTTTGGGATGAACTTGAACCCAAATGGCCACGAGCTTTTTGGGACGATTGGATGCGCCGGAGCAGCGCCGGGATCGCTCCTGCGTCCGGCCCGAGGTGTCCCGTACGATGACGTTCGGCCGCAAAGGCGTGAGCCATGGGCAGTTCTTTGACCAGTATTTAAAATTCATCAAACTCAACGACCGTTTCGTGCCTTTTACCCAACTGGATCTTTCTTACCTCAAAAAGGACGAGTACGAACGTTCCTTCCTCCCTAAGGTTTACTCCGCTCCGGAGGTGAGGGTGGAAGAGCTCCAGGGGAACCGGCGCCGGGAGCTGGGCACCGTCCGCCTCCAGTACAGCGGCCGTGACTCCTTCAAAGCCTTCGCCAAAGCTTTGGGGCTGATGGACGATCTCAAGTCTGGCGTCCCCCGCGCCGGCTACCGCGGCATCGTCAGCTTCGTCTACAGGGGACGGCGCGTTTACCTGGCGCCCCCCTCGGACTGGACGGGATACGATCCCAGCTGGAGTTAGCGGGAATTGCGCTGCTCTGTGTGGTTTTGTTCGAGGGGGGAGGTTCCTCCCCCCCTTTTTGTTGTTTTTGGGGGTTTTTGTGGTGTGGCTTTAGAGGGGAGGAGCCGGGACACGATTTGGGGCGAGTGGAGAAATGATTTTGCAGAATAAATGGCAAAAAACCCCTAAAACTCCCCCCCAGAATTCAGTTTCTTTTGCTGATGCCTCCATCAGCACCACCCGGGTCCTATATTGTGCTATACGCCCTTGTTCTTGTATTCATCTTAATACTCTGGGTGCTACAGATCATAAACTGACCCTTGTGGGTCTATACAGATCTATGGGGGAATCTATACGGATCTGTGGTGGGTCTGTAGAGATCTATGGGAGTCTGGGCAAACTGGTGACATTGGGAAGGATTTATGGCACCCCCCAGCAGGATTTGGGTTAAATCTGAGGGGGGTTAGGGTTATTTTGGAAGCTATTTCCTCCCCACCTCCACTGCTTCTGCTGAAAAGACCCAACCTTCTTATTTTCGCTTAAAAGGGGGACAATCCACCCCCCAAAGAAGCGGGATTTCAGAGTATTATCAGCACTTTCAAGGTAGCAGCAGTGCCTGGTTTGCACTGGAACTGTATTTTGGGGCAAATACACCCATATTGGAATCTTCGGGGTATAAAAGTGTCTTTTGAGCCCCGTTTTTCTGAACACGCGCCCATGATTAACCTGCAGAGCTGAGAACCCGCGGGGGAAGGTGAACGGTCCCACAGGGGAAGCGCAGTTCTCACTCAGGTCCGCAGTTCGCCGGGCGCGCAGTTCCCACTCAGGTCCGCACAGAGGAAGGCAGGTTGGGGGGGGGGGGCCGGCGCGGGGAGAAAAACCAGCCAATGGGAAATCGCGGTGGGACGGCAAGAAGCCAATCAGAGCGCGCCGAGGTTCTAGGGTTGGCGGGAGCGGTGCGGGTGGGATGGCGCGGGCGACGCGGGAGGTCTGCAGTTCGGAAAATGAACCGAAAACGCTCATTCTCCAGCCCCAAAACTTCCCAAAACGCGCTTGTCTCTCTCCCAGGCTCTGGTGTTGCAGGAAAGGGTCTGTCACTCATGGAGAAAACACCTTAAGCTTCTCCCTGGGGCCTCTTTTCATGGGCTGGTGCGAGGTTTATCTGTTATTCCAAAGGGATTTGGGGTCCGCAGGGCTGCTGTGGAGAGTCTGCAGGAGGGCTGCGAGGCACATCTGTTGCCTCTGCTCGACAAACGGGGGCTGTGTGCTTTCCATGCTAAACGACCTGCCATCCAAATTGCTGATGTGAGGTTGGTGAGGTGTCCAGTTGAAAAGAAGCTGATTCCCCCCTGTGCAGCAGATGAGAGCCAGCTCTGGGCCTGCTGAGTTGCATAGAAAAGCAATTTTTTTGTTGTTTAAGCTTTACTTTTTTGCATGGATTTTCAAATTAGATCTTCATAAAGCTTTTCAGGTGAAAAGTGGATGAAAGAGAGTGTTGGAAGCTTGTCCGTTGGAGCAGGACACTGCAAAGATGTATTTTGATTTTCCCTCGATGTGATGTAAGTGTTGCCAAACCTTGTGCTGTAACCAGCTCTTGTCTTTCGAGGACAATATCACCTATGACCTACTTTACCAAGTGGAGAAACAACTAATTACACACCGAGCTGGGCTGTAATTTGGGTTTTGTGGTGATCTGTGGGTTTGTCAGGGACCTTATTTAAAATTAGGCCTCTGGAGATGAAAGCAGCCATCCTCCCTGCTGCCTTTCCTGGTGTTTTCTCTTCTTCCTCAGGCTGATGTCATGAGTCTCCGGGGACAGGGACGCGAATCTGGTAGCAAAGACAGAGCAATTTGGGTTGTAAGAGGCAGAGACCTGCCTGGCCCTGCCTGTGCTGCCTGATAACAGTGCTTTAATACGTGGTTTAACCATAATAACGACTTCCTGCTGTCTTAAGATGTTGGGCTGTTTGTTTATTTCCCTTTCTATGCATTTATAGGTGGTGAAATAGGGGATGAAATCCTGTCCGGGGCCTCTCTCCCTGCTCGCATCCTGGCAGCGATTGCAAAACCACAGGGAGGCCCCAGCCCGAGTGATCCCGGGAGGCACAAGAAGTGGTTTTATCCCCTACATTCTCTACAAACCCCATGCAGAAACTTCTCTGCTTGCAAAACCTTCCTACAAGGCATCAACCAGCATCAGCGAAGCCACTTTTCTTCCTCAAATTGACCTCTTTTAACTCTTTTACGGGGGGGTTCTCCCCAGTTTTCTGGGCCGTGTTTTCATTGATAAACCCTCCTTAATAGACACAGACTCACCTCTATGCGAGGAGGGATTGAAGCGGGGGGGGGAGCCCACCGTCACCACCGGAGAGCGGATCGGAAAGATCTATTCTGATTGGTTGACATCTGCTAGCCAATAGAAAGCCTCAGCGCGTCCGACAGCCAATAGGAGGCGGCGTTTGTAATCCCACTCCCTCTATTCACACCCTTGCGTGGATCTGGAGGGTGCGGTGGAGCAGAACGCGATGTAACGCGTAATAGGGCGAACCAGGAGGAACCGGAACAAAGTAAGTCCGAAAGTTTAATCTCCAGTAGCAGCTCTCGGGGCAAGAAAAAAGCAAAACAAAACACGAAACCATTTATTTTAAAGTATGCTGTCTTCTGTGGTGCGTCTCCAATAATGGGGTTTTAATTAACAGAAAGCAGACTTCATGCTTAATTAATTCTTAGGTGTCTCAGGCTGTTTCCAAAGAGGATTTTAGCCTGTGAGAGTCTTCGGCAGCGGCAGGAGAAACCAGGGCTGTGGTAGATATAGATATTTTTCCAGAAATTGACAGGTTTTGTGGTTTGTTTTTATTGTTTTGTGTCTATATGCACAAGCATAAAAGCAAACCACTGCTCATACCTTATTTAAATTTTATTTTTTGCTTATAAGCAGTTCTCAGAACTGCAGCATCTTGGTGCCAGCGTGTGTCGCACCCGCTTAACTTTTTGGGGTGATTTTTAGCTTTTTAGAAGAGTTTTTTTAATACAGTTTCCCTAGAGCTTGGCTGAGAAGACACGAAGAAACATGGCGGGGGGAGGTGTGAACCCAGCTCTAGCGCATCCCTTGGGGGAGTGCGGGACAGGTCTTTTTTGGGGGGAAACCCCTCATTTTGGAGCCAGAGGAAGGCGGGAGGGGAGGTTGGTTCGATCGCGTCCGCCGGGGAGGGGAGGGGGGATGAGAACGGAGAGGTTGATTCGGTTGCGTCCGGCTCAGGGCTATATAAAGGGCCGCGGAGCGGCGCTGTTTCGCAGTCGGGAGGCGACAGCGTGGCGAGCAGCACCTGGGCGGAGCGGCGCGGAGCGGAGC